TAACCGTGAGAAAACTACCCAGAATCACACAGAATAATCATTTCAGAAAGTCTTTGCTGGCAGTTTCTTTGATTTAAGGCATAATGTAAATGTGACCTAATGAAGAAACTTTGAATTGAGGTAGCAAGTACAATGCAGAACTGTTATTTAAGAAAGTTAGTTCTTAGTACAATTAAAAAGGAGTAAAAAATTTTTTTTATCATACAAGATATGGGGTATTATATATAGAGAGAAATATTAAATAATAAATAATTGAAATATTTAAAATAGCACCAATAATCTTAAATATGCATTTAATTGTGTTAATTAAATTGATTTAATTACAATATTGCATTATTTTTTTTATTTCGTTTTTTAGTTTATTCTGTACTTATTATAATGTAATTTTATAATATTATTTTTTTTTTCCTAATGAGCAAATAATAGCAGCTGCTCATTATAGTAATATAATACTGTACTTCAATAAATTAATATACACATATATACTGTGTGTGTGTGTGTGTGTGTGTGTATACACACACACAATTGGGACCAATTCAATACAAAATCTTCATGCATTAAAAGTGAGCATATTAATATATTTTTATATATAGTATGAAATCTTAAATAATACATATATTTTTGAGAGGTTATCGGTTTTTGTTCATGTTGCCAGTGGTAAATTTCTTTGAATTGCAATTTAATAAATTTCTCTTCCTGTCATTTCAATTCCAGTTCAGCATTCTCTGCGATGGGGCCAAAATTCCTCATGCAATAAAAGAGAGCATATTAATATTATGTATAAGAGCTCCTTAATGCACTGCATGAATGTTTGCATTATAACGAGAAAAAAACACGTGAGCTATAGCACAATCTTAACCCGAAAATTCAAAATGCAATTATGCTAAATGAAACAAAAAAAAGTGACAACATCATTTCTGAGAACCTTACATGATGTGAATTCGGAATAATATGAAAACCCACAGAACACTGAAACCCTGAGCTACAATATAAACCAATGCTTCAATACTGCCACCTAATGGATGTAATATTTAATAACAGGCTGAATGGACAGAACTCTATTGAACAAACCGTGATCTGAACTGAAAACCACTATAGTGTCCTTGGCGAGGCCAAAATCATCAAGGGCTTGCAGAATGCTTCCGACTTGAGCATCCACATATGATACAGAGGCAAAGTAGTGCTGTCGAATCTGCAGCTGAAAGATGAGGGGAAAACATCACATTTGATTCTACAAGAAATGGGATTTAAGGTCCTTTTAGATAGGACCAAACTTAACTACAAACCAAATTATAACTTCATACCAAGGCTTCAAATTATCCAGAACAAACCAAATGTAAATAGTATACTAGTACAAAATCTCTAAGCATGAACATTGTATTTTTGCAAGGTACCTGAAAGTCTTTAGGAATGGGGCCGTAAGGAAAGCTCAGATTTAACGCCTGAACATCTTCCCTCTTGCGGATGTCAGTCCAGGGGTTGTAGGCCACATTAGGAAGTTTCTTAGGAACATCTGGGTCTGGAGCCAGCGTCATACTCTCGATAGGATAGAGCTTTAGGTACTCCTATAAGAACACAGCATTTCCCAGATTTACTGATTTAACAGGTGCTCATACAGTGTGTCACGCTTCATTGAAAAGCACTTACCCGTGGGATTCTGAAAGGAATATGTGGCTTATAGAAGCCAACAGCCAGGAAGAATGGATGGTGAGAGTCCTTCATAGACTCCAGGAGTCGGATAGCTTCTGCTGTGTTCTCTATGTCAGGAAGGGTTCCTAAAGGCATCTCAGACACATCCACGGCACACAGTAAATTACTGTGCAGTGTGCCATCTTTATCTTTGCAAACCTAACAGATGAACATGAGATACTGGAAATAAACATTACAGTCACTTAGAAATCTACTTGTACTTCATTCATGTTATTTACTCAATGTAACTTACGTTTTTTTCCTTTTTAAACATATTAAATGTTATTTGTTTATTTATATTTCATTTAAAATGTGGGTAATATTTCTATATTAAATATTTTACTTGGAAAATTATCCACGCTTTAACTTCTGTTATGTCTAACAGTATTTTTATTTTATTATTCTTATTTATTTCTACGACCTTATTTTGCAAATCAGATTTTGGAAACACAAGAAGCTGTCATATAATTATGAGACAGATTAACCAGCAGGTGTCAGAATTGTATAAAGTGTGAGAGATCAGACAGTACATAATGGTTTACAGATGTGGTTCTCATGGGGGCCGCAGGATGACTTAATTATTGTTATATAAATAATATTAAATTATTATTAATATAT